ATTTGTAGGCTGCTGCGGGTACAACAGACGACGAACCCGCCCGTGCCTGAATGAGGCGCATCCACGTTCAACACGGGAAACAGGGCGGTCGGATAGAAAGGCTGCGGCGAAGGGGCTATTCGCCCTTTAGTTGCTACATGACTGGATAGGTAGAGTCATGAACAAGAGTACTGAGCGAATGCTCCGAGATCAACATACCCATACTAGTTTCGGATCTCGATACAGAGTAGGTAGGCCATGGGTAAGGGGCGAATATGATAGAGAAACTTTCAATTCTCTGTGGAGTGCTTTTGATGTCATTTCCGAGGTAAGAGCGGGAGCTCCCGATCGCTTTTGCGGTTGATCACTCATTATACGTATCCGTGGAGTTTGTGTGCGAGGTTGTTAGTTGTTATAGTTCGACGCCCTCTGAATCCCAAAAGGATCGTCGGTGGAAATGCAAAAGGAGCGTCATAGAGTGGCGCCATAGGGCTGTTCAGTCTCTCAACATTCAGACGTGAACAAGATGCAAGTTTGTTTATCCCCCGGATTATTCATCCAAGTAATTCGGGGACCCTGATGTCATAATCTGGGGGAGTTTGCAACGTCAAGGGCAGTTTGTCCATTCAGGGTCTTGCCACACGCAGGTACAGTAGGCTGCTTGATGGCGAAACGGTAATTGTTCGCTTCAGGCACACAGGCACAATCTCAGAGAAGATGGGACGACAAGGTCAAGGAAGTCATTGCTTAGCATCGGAAATAGGGCAACTTAGCCTGAGACGCCCATGAACGAATTTGCTGCAAGCAATAGAGCTTAGAGGAATTCAAACGTAGAAACCTTGTAGTAGTTAGAAGTGGCTCAATATGAAGCAACGGTGCTTGTCGATTTTGAAATAAGAGGAAGAGCACAATTTTGTCACACTCAAAATGACCAAGACTTAAGTCACACACTAAATTGAACCAATGTTAATGTAATGCCGATTATGGTATTATGTATATCCTATGTACTATACAGTTTCCATGCTTCCTCCCAAATCGTCTGGGCATAAATCCAAAAGATGGTGGATAACCAGGGTATCAAGACATGCCAGCCAAGAACCCAAACACTCGAGAATAAACCACCAACCCCGAATGAATTAAAAAAATTGAAAAAGCCCCCACACCAACGCCCAACACGCTGCATATCATCATGGTCATGAAGGTGACAGTAAAAAGACAACCGCTCGCTTTGCCAGAGAGCAACAACACGCTTACTGGTCTTGACACCAGCCCCTGCTCATCTCCACGGCCTGCTCCCATTTTTTGAACATCTTATCAGCCTTGGCCTTTTCCATCTGCGGTTGGAATACCTTGCGGCCGTTGCGGTTGACCTGCTTCAGATCTTCCAGCTCCCTCCAAACGCCGGTAGCGAGGCCTGCTGCGATGGCGGCGCCCAGAGCTGTGGTCTCACGCATCCGAGGACGGTCAACGGGGATGCCGGTAATGTCAGCCTGCGTCTGCATGCACAGATCCGAGTTGGAGAGACCGCCGTCGACGGCGAGCGATTCAAGTTTGTGCTTCGAATCCTTCTCCATCGCCTCCAGGATGGCACGGGTTTGATAGCAGGTTGCTTCGAGAGTGGCGCGGGCAATATGGCCCTTATTGGTATGATGGGTGACGCCAACTTAAATGAGTTGTTAGTAAAATATTTAAATACCAAAAGCATGCGAAACATGAACTTACAGAGTGTTCCCTTGGCGTCGTCGATCCAGTAGGGAGCGAATAGACCACTGAAAGCTGTGACGAAGACGACGCCGCCATTGTCTGGGACCGATTCTGCCAGTGTAGAAATCTCGCTCGAATTTTTTATGAAGCCGAGGTTGTCCATGAGGAATTTGACGCCGGAGCCGGCGACGGCGATGCTACCCTCAAGGGCATACACTGGCTTTCGGCCACCACCGAAGTCGTAGGCAACAGTAGCGAGTAGGCCGTACTTGGAGATGACAGGCTCGGTACCAACGTTGTATAAGAGGAAGCAGCCCGTTCCATACGTGTTCTTTGCCTGTCCGGGATTGAAGCCGCACTGACCGACCAGGGCGCTAGATTGGTCACCCAGACAACCCGCGATGGGCACGTTGATAAGAGGGCCGCTGGCTACTTTGCCGAAGCATTCAGGATCTGATGATGGTACGATCTTGGGCAGCTTGACCTTGGTTTTGTCGATGCCGAAGAACCCCAGGAGTTTGTCGTCGTATTGCAGGGTATGGATATTCACAAACATGGTCCGGCTGGCGTTGGTGCTGTCGGTAACGTGTACGGGCTTCTCCGCCTTAGCACCGCCGTTAAGCTTGTAAATGAGCCAGGAGTCGACGGTGCCGAAGGCAAGGCGGCCTTGATCGTATGCTTGCTTGACCGCCTCGACATTCTGAAGGAGCCACAGGAGTTTGACGCTGCTGGGGTATGTTGATAGGGGCAAGCCGCAGAGGTCTTTCAGGCTATCCGACTCGTCGCGCGACTTGAGCTCACGTACCAGCGCACTCGTCCTTGTGTCGGGCCAAACGATGGCATTGTGGAGTGGCTCGCCAGTGACGTTGTCCCACACTACTGTTGTCTCGCGCTGGTTGGTGATGCCGATTGCCCGAATGTCTGACTTGGAGTAGCCCAGGTCGACAAACTTGCGCATCGCCCCTTCAATGCACTCTTCGACTGAGCTGACGAGAACATGAGGGTCGTGTTCATGCCATCTGATTTGACTTTGTTAGCGTCCGTGGTGGTGCAGTAGCTCCGCAGCCAAGGTGGGGAAGAGGCGGGGCGGGAGCGACAGCCGGGCATACATACCCTGACTTTGGGTACAGATTTTCGAACTCTATTTGGTGGCTCGCGACGGGATCGCCCTCGCCATTGAAAATGAGGAAACGCGACGACGTTGTGCCCTGGTCGATGCTACCGACAAACCAGTGCTGTCTCTTCTCGTCTTCCGTCTCCGAAATTCCTTGCGGGAGGTGCTCCTCGTGAAGGCTGGCTGTGACATCGGGAAGCCGCCTAGGCGTTGCGGCGGTGGGCTTGATCAGGAGGCCGTCTAGGTTGAGGCTGGGGCCGCCGTCTATGAGAGTATCCTCGAAACGTGCCGGATTAAGCTCCATGACGTGAACCATGATGCGTTGGTGCTGCGTTGCTGTCTTGGATGTGTATGCAAGTGAATGGTGGCTACTGAGATGCAAAGGGCGATGGTGTGGTTGTTGAATTTGTTGGGTTTGAGTTCGGGTCAGGACAATGGGTGGTCGAAACTGCGGACGGCGTAGCACTGATAAAGGATACCGGCGCGGGGCTTTTGGGGGTCCTGGGGGGTCAGAATCGGGGAGGATGACAAAGGAGGGGGGTACGTCATCCGGGGCGTGGCCCTAGCTACTCGTACAGCAATTGTGATGGGTCCGCGTCGCCCAAGAGAAGGCGACTTTCGATCCGTTGCAGCTCCTCCGGGCGCTACTCCGCTGTGACGATTGGAGTGGCGCTGGCGGTTTCCACGGGACAATGGCTCCGAGCGAGACAGCTCGAGGTACGAGTGCTCTCCAAAACGGTTGCGCGCACATTGCAAGCGGCGGCGGAAGTCTTTTCAATGCAGTCCCTGCAGGCGTCTCGCTATCGGATTGCTGGTCGCAGCGTTCGTTTCGGCATCCATGGATAATTTTTCTGGCTGAAAGCGGCGGCTCGCGTGTTGCATTCCACGCGCACGGCACCAAGCCTCGGCCCCGTCCATTGGTGGGTTTTTTTGCGGGGGACGGGATTCGGTTTGATCACGGGAAGCCCAAAGCCACCAGACCCACCACTATGGAACCCCGCACCTTGACCCCGCCAGCAACTCCGCTTGAAAGGTCTCGAACTTCGACAGAAATCAGGACATTTCTTGATCGTCGCTTTGCACCCACAACAGGAATCCTTCACGTCATTTAGAATCAGCCGGACCAGAGCCCCGATTGACGTCTTCTCATCGCAAATCAAGAAATGCAACAATTGGACTTGTTTTCGGTTTGTGATGTCGAGCCTCCACCGGAATCCCCCCTCGATCAAATGGGATCAGGGGTAAACTGCAACCTCCGGACGATGCCCCTGGCTGAGAACTGGACTGCCTCGGGATGCTACTGCACGTTAAAAAGCACCGCTGGGTCGCTATTTGTCTAGACCCTGCCGATCTCAACACTACACGGCCGCGCGTGCGACTGCTTGGTCACTTGACGAGGGGAGCTTTGACATGCACGCTTCTTGGCCAGATTACAGCCCACAATGGAAGGCTTGCTCGGCCGCAGATTTGCCCAGGTAATCCAAGTAAGAGGGGCGCAGATATCGGTAAAGAATCGCCCGAGCCTCTTTCTGGCCAGGGGTTGAGCAATTGGGAAAATGTTTAAAACCATGGGCGAGTCAGGTTCCGATCGAAAGTACGCTCTCGACCCGTCTGGACCTGCACCACAAACCCATTCCAAACAATCCGAAATTCAAAAAAGCAAGCGGCCTGGCAGTATACACGAACACTCGGGTGTCTCGTGGATTGTGGAGGAAGGGACTGCCAAGGGGTGACAGATAAGGAGTCACCAGTTCCCGTGGATCATGGAAATCGACCGAACATGGCCAAAAGAGGAAATCCCGAGATCACGGAAGAGGGGCGTGAACAGCAAAGATTTCGAAAAGAATGTGATCGCGAATGCCGACTGATGAGATTAGATAATAAAAAACAAAAACGAAAATAAGAAAGGGTTAACTACCATAAAAAATAAATAAATAAAAAGGCAAGAAAGATCAGCTTTTCACCCGACGTTTTCTCGAAATCTGCGTACTGCACAACTAGAGAGAATTGAACAAGTCTAAACCAACAGAAACAAAGCCAGAGACTGGGGCTCACGAATGGAAGCCAACAGTCAGTCCCCTCAGGAAAACAATATGAGATTGGGGTGGCGGAGTGAAGGGAGAGGGGGCGAATCTTGACAGTTTTACAGTTTGGGAAGGCGCAAAAACGCGCAAAAAGTTGGGCAATCGCTTGCCGGGAATTGAGCCCGACGTGGGGGTCGAACCCACAACCTTGAGATGTAACCGTGAGTTCAGTTTTAAGAGTCTCACGCTCTACCGATTGAGCTAGCCGGGCAGGCTAGTTTATTTGTTGAGAATCTGTTTCGGAATCAGGCTTGACATGCGAGTTACGCTACACTACTTCCATCACCCACGCGACCCAACAGTCTGGTAATACCCCACACCCCCACCGAACAAAGAGTTTTGTTACCTTGGCTCCTCACGAAAAATGCTGCCGTAACCTCGTCAAAGCCATGAGTTCTTTGCCAGACGACCACAGTTCCAGAAATAGACCAACATGCGAACAATTGCCAATGGAGTTGTCCTATAAAGATCTTAATTTATTTATCCTTGTAAGACTAGCAAACCATGTGCGCAACCTCCCCAGAAAGTCTTCCTGTAACCTCCAATTTTGTAAGCACGCAGCCCGCCTGCAGCCACCACTAAGTCCCTCAAACTGATATAATTGAGCAGCCCATGGTATCTCTCTAACCTCGATACAGTCCAAGAACCTATCACACCATATGTTCGAGAGCTTTTCTGCATCCCGAATCGACCCAATCCCAACAACGACAACAACGGCATCATCTTCATCGTCATTGTTTGAATATGCATGCTCGCTTGCCCCGCTCACTGGTATATAACCGAACAATGCTCACCCCAGACAGCAAACAAGGAAAAAAAAACAAACCCACAAAAAACTAAGAATGAAAGCAGGCGCACCGGAGGATGGTTCCTGGAAGCCAACTTAACGCCATAGCGCCCCGTACATGATAGAGACCGTACCCCGTTCGCATCCTTTATTTAAACCGAACCTTTTCAGCCAGACCGCCTCTCAATCCGAATCCACCCTCCCATCCACCTGAGGCCCGGCAGCTCCACCCCCGTACGGTCCCAGGTGAGGTTGCGACGCCGGCATGGCAGCCCCCGCAGCGGCCATCGACCCAGCGGTCCCCCTCCTCATCAAAGGTTGTGACCCGCCGACGGCCCCATTCCGATTCATCGTTGGGCTGCGACTTCCACTCCTCCGGCGACAGCTTGGAATCGCCCTCCCCGAGCGCCTCTCCTCCTCGCAGTTGGGACACGGCCCGGGTATTTCGTAGACGTCGTACAGGTGCCGGAACCATGGATAAAGCTGGTGTGCCCGGGGCCGGCTTGTCTGCGTCTCGGACATCATGCGGCGGATGTGCGGGAGGATGGCGAGCACGGCGCGGATGGAGGGCTCCCTGGCGGGGTCAGATGCAACGATGTCCCGCGACAAGAGGGAGAGGGTCGTGAGGTAGGCGTCGAGATTATGCAGGGAGTCGGAGTAGTTGAAGTCGGCCGACGACGTTCCACCCGACCCGGACGAGGAGGAGATGGAGTGACCGTCCCCGTCGCGATTAGCCGCCAGTTGCTCTTCAGCGAATCCGGGTGGTTGGCCAAGCAGCACCGTGGCCATCTCGAGGAAAACGCAGCCCAGTGAGAAGATGTCGGAGCGTTCATCCCGGCGCTCCTCGTGCATCGCTTCCGGGTCGGCGTACTTGAGGGTCTTGGGGGTGGGCCCCACCGAATCCTGGCCTGTCTCGAAATGTTTCGACAGACCAAAGTCTGTCAGCACCGGCAGGCCGAAGTCGTCGATGACGATGTTGTCTGGCTTGATATCCTTGTGGCGGATTTGCACACTACGGCGGTGGAGGTAGGCCACTGCCTGTGCGAGACAGCCAAAGTACGTGTGGAGATGGGGAATGATCCAGTCGGCCGCCCTGGGGCTCTGGAAGACCTCATCCATGAAGGTATGCAGGTTGCACATGGCAGGTGGGTACATGGCGATGCCGAGTATGTGCTTTTTGATCCGTTGATTCACGCTGAGGAGGGTGGCGTGGGCTTTGCCCCTTGGCCGGCGCCCGATCTGCCGGGTTTGGATGCAATAATCCTCAAAGGATGCCACGTATGCGACGATGTGTGGGTGTCGGAGCGAAGACATGGTCTTAACCTCCTTCAGCGCATCACTGCGTGCCTTGCTGTCCGGTCCCGGTGGCCGCGATTTTTCCTTGCAGACAATGACCTTGAGTGCCAGTGGTCGCCGATAGGCATGGCCCTCCGGAGGAGTAACCTTGTACACGATGGTCGATCCCGAGTCGCCGAGTTCTGGGCCTTGTTGCACGAAGGGGCTGGGAGGCTTGAGGTACTCCTTGCTGCAATGATGGAATACCTTGTGTTTCTTGGGATCAAGCAAGGCAGTCCTGACAGGTGCCAGCCATGCATCGGAGTGTTCCCGGTCGGCGTCGTCCCAGACAAAGTGCTGGTCATCCTGGCTGCTGAGGAAGTCACTCAGCGGGATGGGCTGCGTCTGCGACGACTGACTGCCGTTCGACTCGAATGACATCTGGACCCAGGCGCAAGGGGTGGATTTATGAAGGACAAGGGTGGCAGGTAGGCGAAGTAAGCCGGAACCAAGCAGCCGGGTGTCTAAGGTAGGGTTGTTGGGAGGGGGATGCGGTGTGTGGAGCAGCGCCGGGCCGAGTCCGCGATGCTCAATCAGCGGCAGTGCATCGGCTCCGGAGAGACACGAAGGAAGATGTGGCACGGAATTCTAGAAGAAGTTGTTTTCGCCGAGGATATCAACAGGTAAAAAAAGAAAAAGAGAAAAAAAAAAGAAAAGAAAGAATGGGTAGGTCAAGAGAGCCTCAGAAAGACAAGGCTGTGAGAGTCTATTGGGTACGTCGGTAGACTTTGCATTGCTCTGATGGAGCGCCTTGCTGCGGCTGCCCGCCGGTTTTTGTCGCCCCGGAAATTTGGCGTCAGTGCAGGGCACACAGCGGGCAGAGACGCCTGCGAAACCACAATTCGATTGGAGGTGCCCGATTCTCGCGGTGGCAGAGCTGTCGGCCCAATGGGCGGGGGCAGTTTTCTGGGAATGCGGCGAACGGCGAAAGGGTGCAGGGCGAGAGACAGATTTTCGTGACCTCCAATGCTGCTGGTCGGAAAGGCTGATCCAGGTTTGGGGCATGGATACCGAACCCGATTTGCAAACGACTTGTCTTTTCTCCAGCCGCTGTCCAAGAATAGGCACAGGCGATGCGATACTCTCGCTGTCTCACCCCTTTTGAGACGGGAGGGTTTCTTGGAACGGCCCCGCAAACCGGGTGCGCTTGAGCGGCACAGTGGTGCCTGATGGTGGGTCGGGACGGGCCCGCAAGTGCCGCAGTCACCCGCAGGGGACAGCAGGAGCGATGAGAACCGGAGAGATCGGGTTGCACCAAACTCGAAAGGTAATATAAACCTCCATCTAAGCCAACAATCTATCACGATACATTCAGCAGTAATCATAGAGCCAGAGCGTCTAAAAAGGACTGCCGAAATCTTGACATCCAAAAGGTGTTTCTTCAACTATTATCTGAGTTCACTGCTCCGATTAACAAGCAGCAACCGCTGAATCTCAGGCTACGACCCTAACCCTACCCCTTCAATACCTAAGCCGGGAAGGAACGACGAGAACCTTAGCGAATCTGTCACCGAGTATTGGATTTGATGGACGCGCTGGCCGATGTCATATCCTTGTGACTCATCAGAGTTGCCCATGTGGCCACAGTGTGAAAGCTGCAGTTAAGCAATTTACATCTGGCCAGCTGCTGCCGTTCGACCACGGCGCATGACCTGCCAGCGAGCTCTTGCCCGATTCTTCAACGGGCCGTTGATTTGACTTCGGAGAACCGAGGCTAGATATTCAAGGCGTAATCCTGGGTTTTCCGGGTCTTGATAATCACCATCGTGACTTTCACTCAGTAGGGCAGAGAGAGAGACCAGAGAATCTGGGGCGGATAATTCGGTGAATGCATACAATTTGATCAGAATGACATACAGCAGAAAGAACATAAGTAGGTACGTAAGTAATGAACGAAGTAATCCTAAGCTATCCCAAACAGTATGCCGCATCACAAAGACCGTAGCCAACTCTCGCTGCCTTGAATCCAAAAAAAAAAAAAATTCCAAAAAAATTCCGGTCTATCCAAGTTAAGTAATGATCTGATAGCAAATGCAAACCTATCCATGAAAGGACCTACCTCAAAACAAAAGACAGTGGGTAGAATATGACGTGCGCGGCGAAGTCGTTACGCTCACAGCCCGCCCAACGCTACCAATCCAACCGTCAGCGCCTATCCTCAAAAAAGGGTTCATTGGTGGAGTGAAAGGTAAAAATGTAAGGATAGCGATGTGATATACTTACCGGCAGCGTAGCAAAGGTACCACGTCCGGGTCACGCCGCCGTCGAGCCAGCCGTCGTTGAACCCGGATCTGGAGAAGAAGTCGTAGGCGCCGCGGGGATCGATGGTGGCGTAGTTGCCCAACAGGATGCCCCTCCAGCCGTTATCAATCGTGTCGGCACGGCCGTTGCTAAAGAACTTGTCCCACTCCTCGCGGACAAAGGTCGGAGTGCGCACAAAGGGAGAGTGCGGCAGTAGCGGCAGCATGTGGATGCCCTGGATGTATTCAATGTTGGCGCCGAAGTAGGTCGTGTGGTGGATTTTGTTCTCGAACAGGATGCCGGCCACCTTGTTGCCGATGAACTCTTGGGGTTGGACTTTGTTGTCCGAAGAGTAGAGGTAGTAGGACTGGAGAGAGCGCCTTTGAATGGCGAGCATGAGGTTGCCACTGCGGAAAAGGGAAAATAAGGGAAGTTAGAAATAATGCTTTGGAGGGAAGGGGTGGGGTGGGGGAAATTCAACAAGGGCGCGAGATGGGGAGCGGGGGAGGGGGGAGAGGTGCCATACCGGGCTTCCAGGTTCGCATCACCCGTAACAGAGCCCCAGAGCTTGAGACCATAGGTGTGCATGGTGTCTTCTGAGCTAGACTCTTGATTTTTGCCATCAAGGGCGTCGAAGAGCCCATGGGCCCAGCTGTGGCCGTGGTACCAGTCAAAAGACCGCCAGAGGGGGAAATACTGGTCTTTGGTACTGGGGTTGGCGATATCGCGGACGAGCGTGTTGACATAGGCCTTGTTTTGCTCAACCCACGACTGATCGAGGTGGCCGATCACGGCCGCAGCGTAAATAAAGTAACCCCAGTGAAAGTGATGGTCGTTGTACAGCGTGT